TCCATCCAGAGGAGTATCCTGGCTCATAAAAACACAGAGAAACCCCCCAAATTGACTCTTTTTTATCAAGATTTCCGTGTTTCAGGTTGTCTTTGCAGGAGCAGGTGTTGGTGTGTTGGTGCTGCAGTGGATCCCAAACACCAGATCACACCCAACTCCCAACTTTCTGCACTGATTATTGAACTGTTCTGCACAAAGATGCAATTAACTGCTGAGCTGGTGTTAATTAGGGGTGAGAATCACTTATATGGATCATAAAATAATCCATTTATAAGCGATGAATGCAGACACAGAGGTATTTTCCTTTTTTTGGGGATTTCTCAGAAATGTTTCTGATTAGGACTGATGGTGGAGTTAAATTGCGGAAGGGAAACAACCCACAGCTCATTTCCCTTAAAAACTGGGATTATGTCTAATTTTGAGGTCTGTTTAAGGGATTTAGGAAGCCAGTCCCTGGATAAGCTCCATGAGGCATCACTGGAGGTCAGGAAAATCCTGGCACCGGTGCCACGACCACCCACTCCAACTCCCTCTTCAAACTGGGAAGTTTTTGCAAAGGAAAATGGCAGGATCTGCCCTAAAATCCATATCCAGGCAGCCTCCAAGCAGTGGGACTGGATGACACGTGTCTGGGGTCTGTCTCTGTTAATTCAGGTCATAAATAATCAGTTTGATCATTTTATTTCTCATCAGCTCCTCCTGCTTCCTCTCACCTACTGGATCAGATGAAGCCTGGAAAAGCTTCCAGGTGCTGAAATTAGGGAATTGCAGGGAATAAATGGAAACAGGCAAAATACATCCAGAGGTAACAATTGCCCAGGGGAGTTTAAATGGAAGCAAACACCAACTTCTGTGTGCTGGGTGGGAAACCTCACCTGGAATGTTCAGGAATGAAGTCAGGCACGTCCTGGAGGTTTGGATTTGTGAGCTCAAAAGCACAGGAAGGATGTGGAGCTGCTGGAGAGAATCCAGAGGAGGCCACAGAGATGCTCCCAGGGCTGGAGCCCCTCTGCTCTGGAGCCAGGCTGGGAGAGCTGGGGGGGTTCCCCTGGAGAAGAGAAGGCTCCGGGGAGAGCTGAGAGCCCCTTGCAGGGCCTAAAGGGGCTCCAGGAGAGCTGGAGAGGGACTGGGGACAAGCCAAACCAGACTGGTTTGGGTTGGAAGGGACCTTAAAGCCCATCCATCCCACCCCCTGCCATGGGCAGGGACACCTCCCACTATCCCAGGTTGTTCCAACCTGGCCTTGGACATTCCAGGGATCCAGGGGCAGCCACAGCTTCTCTGGGCAACCTGGGCCAAACCAGTCTGGGATTCTGTGCTGATTCTTATTGAACCCATTACTGACCTTATTTCCCCCTTAGGAGGTTGGTTGCTGTGACCTCACAGAGCAGAGCAGGGAACAGGGATCGATCCCACAGCGTCTGCTCCTGGTGCTGACGCAAACCCGGGGGCTGCAGGAGATCAATGGGGGTCAATTTGGGGCACCCAGGGGCTCTTCCACGGGATAACTGTGCCCTGGTCCTGGAGGAAGCTGGGGAGAGCCTTGGCACGTCTCTTCTAAACTGCAAAAGTGCAGAAAAGCACTTTGGGGGATGGGGAAAAACATGCTGGGAAAAGTGCTCTTTTGATTAAGGCTATTTTGAGTGGTATTTTTACCATATTGGTCAAGACAAGTTTCTAGGGTATTTTTCATATTAAAAATGGGTAAGAGGGAGTATTGGACCATGCTGGGGGCTGGCTGGGAGAGCTGTGGGACACCTCTGGCACTGAGGGACATGGTCAGTGGTGGCCTTGGCAGTGCTGGAGGATGGTTGGACTCGATGGTCTTGGAGGGCTTTTCCAACCCAAATGATTCCATGATTTGAGGATTCTCCAGGGGCTCCAGCAAAGGTTGCCTCAGGTCTGCTGCTGCCCCGGGCTCCTGCATTATCCATTTGCCAGCCAGGAGCGTCTGCCTTCCGTGGTTGTGGAATTCCTGCTGGCCTCTGACACAACCATTGCTGCTCCCTGCCAGAGCCAGGGCCAGGGGACAGGGAAATGTCAGAATCCCAGAATCCCTGAGGGTGGAAAAGCCCTCCCAGCCCATGGATCCCCCCTGTGCCCGATGCCCCCCTTGTCCCCCAGCCCAGAGCACTGAGTGCCACGGCCAGGCCTTCCTGGGACACCTCCAGGGTGGGCACTGCAAACCTCCCTGGGCAGCCCCTGCCAGTGCCTCACCACCCTTTCCATGAGAAATTCCTCCTGATGTCCCACCTGAGCCCAGCCCATCCATGGTCACCCTGAGGTGTCCCAGGGAGCTGCTCAGGATGCAGAAGGTGGTTCCTCAGCCCTGTGTCTGCCTTTGGGGTCCGTTTGCTCCTGAACTAATTTGATGATTCACAGTGGAATTTTCTGTTCTGCATCCCAGGAACATTCAGCATCTCCACATGCATCTGAATTGGAAATCCCCACATGGGTTTCCTGAGTGGCTTTGCATCCAAATCAGTCCTTCCTTGCTCTGCCAGGCACCATCCCCTCCTCCCACCCCGGGGGAAGGACTCCTGGAGTCAATGGCACAGCTAATTCCTGAGGAGAAGATCGATCAGCTCGTGGTTTGGGTGGGGAAAGACTGTTCTGGGCTCTTCCTTCCTCACCCTGAGGAGAGCTGGGTTGGCTGAGAAGCAGCACGGAGGAACAGGGTCAGGGCCATCAGCAGGAGTTAGAGGTGAAGGCACAGTGAATTCCTGGGTGTTCCCACTTTGTCCTGTGGCTCCGGATCAATGGGACGAGCAGGGACTTCCCTGGCTCCGGGGCTCCTGGCTGGGGGGACAGAACTCCCCCAGGGCCTTCTGGGGCAGCTGTTCCTGTCACCAAGAGCCTTCCCGTGACAAAGGACATTTTCTCATGTCCATCATTTCCCTTTCCACTCCCGTTATTCCCTCACCTCACCGCAGAACATGGACACTGGGAATGTGCTTTTTGTCTCCCCAAAAGCAATTACGGTGTTGATTTTAATGTCACTAATTAGCAGGGAATGGCTCCCCTTGGACTGTTGTTGCTCTGCAACCATAATGAGACGAATAACGTGAGTTCTTTGCCCAACTCCAGCCTGGAGATGGGAAAGAGGCAAGAGAGGCCTCTGGGAAATCCGGAGGGATGGAGGAAGGAGAAAGACTGGGAAGAAAAAGGAGAGTGGAAGCTGGTGAGGCTGGATGGCCTCTGAGCCAAGAGGGTTCTGGAACTGCTTACCCAGAGTTTGGGATGAATTCCACCTGGAATTTCTTTTAATTGGGTGGGAAAAGTAGCAGACATGGTTACTTCTGTGTTGCAGCAAGGAAAGTGAGGTAGGGAACAGGAGAGATTGAATGGGAGTAGAAAACAGCAAAGTGAGACTCATCTTGGGAAAACTGAATTCATTTTCCAACAAAATTAAAAAATAGCATGAAGCAGAAATGCAGTGGCAGGAAAAATCCTCAGAAACCAACTCCGAGGAAGGTGAAGGGATAATGGTGAGAAAACGAGGTGTGCTTGGGTTTATTGCACAAGTGAAAGCCGACAATCCCCATTTTCCCTGCGCACCCCTTGGCACATGGTCGAGGGTGGCACGGGTGGGCAGCGGCCCTGGAGCAGCAGGAGGAGGAGCAGGTGAGGAGTGAAGGGCCCTGGGATCAGTGTGACCCTTCGGAGCATCGCCAGGTCCCTTCAGCCCGAACGGCTCCGTGATTCCATGTGTATTTATCGGAATTTTTGGACTGATTTTCCACTGCCCACCAGTCCCAACCGGGGCTGAGCTTTGTGGCTGCGCTGCATGGAAGGATCTTGCTGCTGTTTGCTTGTTCTCATCTTGGGCTGCTCTCCAAAATCCTGCTCACGCCCTTCTCTTTTGAATGATGGATGCAAGGACTGGCCCCACTGGCACTCGTGTGCCAAGCACAGGGGTGATGACACAGTCCTGGACCTGCTTCTGCTCTGCTTTGGTTTGCAAATATCCACCCTGTGGGACTTTCTGACTGCATCATTTTCATGGACTTCTTAGATAGATGGGATATTGGGAAGGAATTCCTGGCTGGGAGGGTGGGGAGGCCCTGGCCCAGGTTGGGCAGAGAAGCTGTGGCTGCCCCTGGATCCCTGGAAGTGTCCAAGGCCAGGCTGGATGGGGCTTGGAGCAACCTGGGCTGGTGGAAGGTGTCCCTGCCCATGGCAGGGAGTGGGATGGGAATGTGCCAGTCCCTCACCACCCCTAAGCCACCAATTTTAACCCCTTTGATGCTGGTTCCCGTGACCCCGTGGAATGCCCGTGAGTGGGAAATGAATAATAAAATATAAAATAAAATAAAATAAAATAAAATAAAATAAAATAATAAAATATTAGGAAGGAGTGGGGGTGCCTGATCTCCTCTCACCCCTGGCCCCCTCCCGGCCGGTTCTGCGGGATGGGGAAGGAGGGGCAGATCGCGGGGAGCGGATCGCGGGGCGGTTCGAGGGGCTGTTGCGGAGGGGCAGTGCGCGGGGGGCGGTGCGGGGGGGCGGTGTGCGGAGCATCGCGAGGGGCGTCACACGGGCGGTGTTGCGCGGGGGCGGTGTGCGGGGCGGATCGAGGGGCAGAGCACGGCGGGCAGTGCGGGGTGGGCAGTGCGCGGGGGGCGGTGCGGGGGGCGGATCGCGGGGCAGTGCAGGGTGGGCAGTGCAGGGGGCGGTGCGGAGGGCGTTGCGGTGGGAAGTGCAGGGTGAGCGGTACCCGAGGGGCGGTGCGGGAGGGGCGGGTCGCTGCGGGCCCGGGGCGGTGCGGGGTGGGCAGTGCCAGGGGGCGGTGCGGGAGGGGCGGTGCAGGGTGAGCGGTACCGAGGGGCGGTGCGGGGTGAGCGGTACCGAGGGGCGGTGCGGGGTGAGCGGTACCGAGGGGCGGTGCGGGAGGGGCGGTCGCTGCGGGCCCGGGGCGGTGCCGCTGCCGCGGCCGCTGCCGGCGGCTCCGCGTGGGTGGCGGCGGCGGCGGCGGCGCCGAGCGGAGGCTCCGCGGGGCCGGGCCGGGCTGCGGGGGCTCGGCGGGGCTTTGCGGGGGGCGCGGAGCATGTCGGCGCTGCGGCGCAAGCTGGGGGACGACTACCAGGTGGTGAGCACCTCGGCCAGCGGAGCGGGGCTGCCGCCCCCCAGGGCCGCCCCCCGCGGGAAGCGCCAGCGCTTCGTGGACAAGAACGGCCGCTGCAACGTCCAGCACGGCAACCTGGGCGGCGAGACCAGCCGCTACCTGTCCGACCTCTTCACCACCCTCGTGGACCTCAAGTGGCGCTGGAACCTCTTCATCTTCATCCTCACCTACACGGTGGCCTGGCTCTTCATGGCCTCCATGTGGTGGGTCATCGCCTACATGCGGGGCGACCTCAACAAGGCGCACGACGACAGCTACACCCCCTGCGTGGCCAACGTGTACAACTTCCCCTCCGCCTTCCTCTTCTTCATCGAGACCGAGGCCACCATCGGCTACGGCTACCGCTACATCACCGACAAGTGCCCCGAGGGCATCATCCTCTTCCTCTTCCAGTCCATCCTGGGCTCCATCGTGGACGCCTTCCTCATCGGCTGCATGTTCATCAAGATGTCCCAGCCCAAGAAGAGGGCCGAGACGCTGATGTTCAGCGAGCACGCCGCCATCTCCATGCGGGACGGGAAGCTCACCCTCATGTTCCGCGTGGGAAACCTCCGCAACAGCCACATGGTCTCGGCGCAGATCCGCTGCAAGCTGCTCAAGGTGAGGGACGCGGCCCCGGGGCGCGCAGGGAAGGGTTGGGTAGTAGGGAAAATTCCTTCATGGGAAGGGTTGTCCTGCCCAGGGAGTCCCAGCTGGAGTCCCCGTCCCTGGAGGGATTTCCAAGCTGTGCGGATGCGGCACTTGGGGACATGGGTCAGCAGTGGCTTTGGCAGTGCTGGGGGATGGTTGGACTCGATGGTCTTAGAGGGCTTTTCCAGCCTTAATAATTCTGTGAAAAACCTGTGGCCCCGTGGCCCCGCTACTGGTCCCTTGGGGACATCCCACCACCTCATCCCACCACCCCCTCCGTGTCCCAGAGCTGTGCCATCCCTCCCTCCTGCCAGGGGCTGCCCCCTTGTCCCTGGGTTGGGGGCAACCTAATCTAGTGGAAGGTGGCCCTGCCCGGGGCCAAGATTTGGAACGAGATGATCTTGGATCATTTTTGGGTCCTTCTGCTGCTATCCCAGCCTTCCCATCCTGTTCTCCTGGAGCAGGGACCACCTCCGAGAGCCTCAGGCTGCGGGCTGAGCCACCAGGAGTCTCAACTTCCTTGGAGATAATTCTGCTCTTCAGCGCAGGATTTAAATGCATATTTATAGATTCCTATAAAACGCTCCGTTTCCCTGACAAGTAAATCCTTTGTAGCTCGAATTCCTGGGCGAGCCGGTGAGGAGAAAGCTCTCTGCCTTCCGGGCGTAATCCTGAGCTTTTGGGCAACCCCGAGCCCAGCCAGGCGGAACTTTTGTTTCTGCGGAGCGTGAACTCCGTGCCGGGGTTAGACGTGGAAAACCCTGCCAGTGGCCCTGGAAAAATCGAGTGTTTGCTTGAGCGTCGCTCCAGCGGCCGCGGATCCATCTGATCCATAGGGGAGAGGGCGGCAGGATGGAGGGGGTGGAAGGGGCCGGCTCGGGTGACGTTTGCCGCAGGCAGAGCATCCCGAGGGGTGCCCCGGCCCTCAGGTGGGTGCTGGGCAGGGGATGGGTGCCCTGCCCTGGGGATGGGTGTCCCGCACTCAGGATGGGTGCTGTGCAAGGAATGTGGGTGTCCTGGCAGGGATACGGGCGCCCTGCCCTCGGGATGGGTGCTGGGAAGGGAATGTCGGTGCCCTGCCCTCGGGTGGATGCTCTGCCCTTGGGGTGGGTGTCCTGCGGGGAATGTGGGTATCCTGCCCTCGGGGTGGGTGCTGGGAAGGGAATCTGGGGTGCTTTGCAGGGAATGTGGGTGCCCTGCCCTCGGGGTGGGTGTCCTGCCCTCTGATGGATGCTGGGCAGGGATTGTGGGTGCTCTCCCCGGGGTGTGGGTGCTCTCTCTGGGTGTGGGTGCTCTCCCCGGGATGTGGGTGCTCTCTCCAGGTGTGGGTGCTCTCTCCAGGTGTGGGTGCTCTCCCTGGGTGTGGGTGCTCTCCCTGGGATGTGGGTGCTCTCCCCGGAGTGTGGGTGCTCTCCCCGGGGTGTGGGTGCTCTCCCCGGAGTGTGGGTGCTCTCTCCAGGTGTGGGTGCTCTCTCCAGGTGTGGGTGCTCTCTCTGGGTGTGGGTGCTCTCCCCGGGGTGTGGGTGCCATGCAGGGCTGGGCAGGGTCCCCCTGCCCGGGGTGATCCCCCTTGGGTCCCCCCACCTCTCTCCCCTCTGCCCTGGCAGCAGAAGCTCATCCCCCATCGGGGGCTCCTGAAGTTGTCCTGTTTTGCCCCAAATCCATGTTTCCAGTGGGATTTGGCAGTCAGGATGTCAGGGCTGGGGGTTGCAGAACCCCCCCAGAGCCCCTAAATCCTGTGCCCAAAGGAGGGGGAGAGCTCCTAAAGAACCCCCAAAACAGCCCTGTAATGGCTTTAACACTGTGAAATATCACATCAAAGATGTATAAATATATAGAAAATAACATTACAGCATAATATCATTTATTTATATAACATAAAACATACCTTTAATCTATATTCAATAATATTGATGTGTTTTACACCATATATTTAACAATATTTAATAGTGATGTGTAAATATGCATTTATATAATATATAAATATAATAAGGAGCATCCAGCAGTGCCCTTTGCTGCCGAGCTGAGGGGCTCTCCCTAAATATAGTTTAACTCTTATATAGAGAGCCATTTGATATATAATATTATATATGTAATAGAACTATTAAAGCTCTTTAGGAGCTTTAAAGCTTTTCAAAATATATTTAAAGATATTAAAGAGCAAAAACGAGTCATGTCCATTATAACATTTCAAAAATGGCCCTTTTTTCGTGTGTCTTGAAGTGCCTCAGGGGGAATTTTAAAAGTTGGAGCTTAAAACTTAGTGTGGCTCCAAAAAAATTCCCTGGGTTTGAAATGTGAATGAGCAGGTTCAGAGGAATCAACTCTGGGTGTGGGAGCAGCTGGGAATGGGGAGGGAGAAGGGAATAAAGGGTAAAATGTGGCTTTTCCAGGGATACAGGTGGAGCTGGCTCTGCATATTCCCTATAAAATGTCCATGCATGGAGCTTTCCTTGGCTGGGAGGGGGGAAGCAGTGCTTGGCCAGCCTTCCTGGGGGGAAAAAGGGAAAAACAGAAAAGGGACAAAAAAGGAAATAAATAAAAGGAAAAAAGGAAAATAAAGGGGGGGGGGGGAAAGGGAAAAAAGGAAAATAAAGGGGGGGAAAAAAGGGAAATAAGGAAAATGGGGGGAAAGGGAAAACAAAAGGGAGAAAGGGAAAAAAATAAAAGAGAAGAAAATAAAAAGAGAAAGGAAAAGGGGGGGAAGGGAAAATAAAAGGAACATGAAAAGAAAAAAGGAAAATAAAAGGGGAAAATGGAAATAAGGAAAAAAAGAAAATAGAAGGGAAAAAGGGAAATAAGGAAAAAGGTGAGAAAGGGGAAAAGGGGAAATACAAAGGAAAAAGAAAAACAAAAAAGGGAAAGTAGAAAGGGAAAATGGGGAAGGAAAAAATTAAAAGGGAAAATAAAAAAGAGAAAATAAAAGGAAAAAATAAAAAAGGGGGGAAAAAGGGAAAATAGACAGGAAAAAATGGGAGGAAAAAAAGAGGAAACGAAAGGCAAATAGAAGGAACAAAAAGCAGGGGGGAAGAAAACAAAATAAAACCCCCAAGGATTGCAGAAGGGAGAACAATCCAGCCCCTCTTCCCAGGTAGTGCCAGGCCTGGACACTGTTCCCAGCTGGCAGGAAACAGGGATGGGGGGGAATTCCTGGCTCAGTGTTCCTGTCCTGGTTCCCATCTCACCTGTGCAAGTGTTGCACACCTGGGTGCTCACAGATATCCTTCTGAAATGCTATTTTTTCTCCCTATAAAAGGTTCTTTTCCTTGCAAAACCGTGTGGAATTGGAAATCCCAGTACACTCTGTTTAATGTTTCTTTGTTTTTCCTGGTGAGCTCAAACCACACCAGAGAGAAACCAAACCCAAAGCCTCAACAGTGACAAATCAGTGCAAAGCCTTGTTTGTTGTAATATTAATTGTAAATTATTGATTTCGTAATAGATTTTTAGGATTGTAAAGAACTCAAATGACCTTCAGAATTCCTAAGCTTTCCTCCCTCATTTCTTGGGGCAAACGACTCACTCAAGGTCATTTCTTGGACGAATTATGGGCTTGAATAGCTCAACAGTCCCTTTAGGAATTCTTCCAGCCTGGCTGGGGTTGGATATTTCCTGGGATTCAGGGGAGGTGTAAAATAATACTTGATTTATCTGTATTTTAACTTCCTAACTCCATCTCAAATCCCTGGGAGCAGAGTGGGACTTGGAGTGTGTGACATCCCAGCTGGCTCGTGGAACACCTGATTTCCCTGCAGTGCCACCCAGGAGGGTTTGGGATGGATGTGCTGGATTCCCTGGGAATCCCACGAGCTCCAGGATGAGGGGGTGGGGCCCTGGGAATCTAATCTGGGATTGGATTGGATATTAGGAGAGATTTGTCCATGGAAAGGGTGGTCAGGCACTGGAATAGCTGCCCAGGGCAGGGGGGCAGTCCCCATTCCTGGAGGGATGTAAAATCCACGTGGATGTGGCACCTGGGGACAGGGGGCAGTGCCAGGGGAGGGTTGGACCTGATGCTCTTGGAGGCTTTTCCAGCCTGCAGGAATCTGTGATTCTGGGATTTCCTTCCCCCCTCTGGAGCTCATCCCATTTCCCTGGACTGTGCTGAGTCCCTCAAGCCCCACATTGTCTTTAACTCTCCTTTTCCATCACTGTTTCACCTGTTGAGATCATGGAATCATGGAATGGTTTGGGTGGGAAGGGACCTTAAAGCTCATCCCGTCCCACCCCCTACCATGGGCAGGGACACCTTCCCCTATCCCAGGTTGTTCCAATCCCTGTCCAGCCTGGCCTTGGACATTCCTAGAGATCCAGGGGCAGTGCTGGGTGACAGTTCTGGGTGTCCCCAGTGTCACCCACAGCACCCCAGCCCTCCCTCCCCGTGCCTGGATCAGCGTTTTCCAACCGTGGGCTGTCCATGGGAGCAGTTCCCTGCCTGGAGCTGCTCCCAGGAATTATTTGCTGCTTTTCCCATGGGATTCTTGCCTTTTTATTGAAACCTTCTCTGTGGGGAGGGAAGGAGCCCAGCCCTGCAGGTGGATGTTTGTGCAGCTGTGCCCTGGCTGTGGCTGGGCTCCTTTAGGGCTGTGGGAGCTGGGATGGGATAACGGGGGCAGGGCTGGCAAATCTGCACTTTCACACCCAAAAACGGGAGCCCAGAGTTGAGTGAGACACCCAATTGCTTGTCTGGGGGTTGATCTGCTCCCAGCCCAGCACCACTCAGGGGAAGGTTTAAAAATAGAACCCCAGTCCCGAGCGAGGCTCATAATCCTGTTGGCTCTGTCTGATGCCTTGAGATTGTAAAAAATCCCATTTAAGTCAGTGGAGTTGCTCAATGTGGGAATTTTCACCTCGGCTCCAGATGTGGGGAAGGATGGAAAGGCATCCCAGGCAGTGATTTAATGCTGGGTTTGGCTCTGCACGACAACCACAGCAGTTCCTAAAGCTCCTTTTTAAAATCTGAACGGAAATAATGGGAAATTCTGCAATAAAAGTAATGACCAGGATGGGCTGTAATGTTCTGTTCCTGCCTATTCATAACTCAGGGAGAAGGAATAAAAGCTGGAGAGGGGGTGTTTGAGCAGGGCTCCTTATGGATTAGGGATGCCAAGTGTGGCACTGTGAGCTGGGATTGGAGGGTTCAGCTCTAGGTGGCATTTTATGGCTTTGTTACGTGGCTGTGAATGGTGGGACACTGTGGGTGACACTGGGGCATCAGGGACACCCAGAACTGTCCACCCAGCACTGCCCCATCCCTGGAAGTGTCCAAGGCCAGGCTGGACAGGGTTTGGAGCAACCTGGGCTGGTGAAAGGTGTCCCTGCCCATGGCAGGGGATGGAACTGGATGGGCTTTAAGGTCCCTCCAGCTTCTCCCTCTCCTGGTGGGTGATGCAGTGGGTTGGTGGCACAGCCACCATTCCTGTGGGTGGCCAGTGGTTTTCCAGGGCCTGGATCTGTGATTGCAGTAAAATATGTGTTGGAAATAATCCCCCCCTCCTCTGCCAGTGCTGGGCTCCCACCTCTGGCACGGCCCTGTGGCTGGAGCAGGGTTTGCCTGGTGAGGTGGGTGGTGCAGAGCACTGGGATGTGGGATATGGGGTGTAGGATGATATGGGGTGTGGGATGGTGTGGGGTGTGGGGTGGTGTGGGGTGTGGGATGATATGGGGTGTGGGATACGGGGTATGGGATGTGGGATGCTGCAGGGGTGTCTCAGTGATGGTCATCCCAGCAGTGATCCCGGAATCCCAGACTGGTTTGGGTGGGAAGGGACCTTAAAGCCCATCCTGTCCCACCTCCTGAGACCTTCCCCTATCCCAGGTTGCTCCAGCCTGGCCTCGGACGCTTCCAGGGATGTCCCCAACCCCTCTGGGCAGCCCGTTCCCACTCCCAACCTGCTCCTGACCCCCTTCCCTGCCTCTGCCTCTCCCTCCCCAGTCCCGGCAGACCCCGGAGGGCGAGTTCCTGCCTCTGGATCAGCTGGAGCTGGACGTGGGCTTCAGCACCGGGGCTGACCAGCTGTTCCTGGTGTCCCCCCTCACCATCTGCCACGTGATAGACTCCAAGAGCCCCTTCTACGACCTGTCCCAGCGCAGCATGCAGACAGAGCAGTTCGAGATCGTCGTCATCCTCGAGGGCATCGTGGAGACCACGGGTGAGTGAGCGTGGGGGGCACAGCCCCCGGGGCTGCGCTGGGAAAGGGGGGCTCCAGGGCCCGGGGGCAGGGAGGGGAACTGCCTGTGTGGGACACCGGCTGTGTGCCAGCAGGAGGAAAATAAAAAAAGAGAAAAGAAAAGGAAAAAAAATAAAAAAAAAAAGGGGGGGGGGAAAAGGGAAATAAGGAAAGGAAAAAAAAAATGGGAGAAAAAAGAGGAAACGAAAGGCAAATAGAAGGAACAAAAAGCAGGGGGGAAGGAAAAAAAATAAAAACCCCAAGGATTGCAGAAGGGAGAACAATTCAGCCCCTCTTCCCAGGTACTGCCGGGCCTGGACACTGTTCCCAGCTGGCAGGAAACAGGGATGGGGGGGAATTCCTGGCTCAGTGTTCCTGTCCTGGTTCCCATCTCACCTGTGCAAGTGTTGCACACCTGGGTGCTCACAGATATCCTTCTGAAATGCTTTTCAGCATTTGTGTGGTGACACAACCACGGGAGTTACGAGTGGGATGATCCTCTCAGCACATGGTGACTCTTGGGATGGGCCCATGCAGGGTTAAGGGTTGGGCTCTTGTGGGTCCTTCCAGCTCAGCATGTTCTGGGACTGTGTGGAGCTAAAGCAGGAAACATCCCCCAGGACCTCATGGACATCACCTGTTCTTTTAAAAAATTCAAGGGGTGGTTGGATTTTACCCAGAAGGAGGTTTTATTTAATGATGTTCCCAAAGCAATACTCTGAAAAAGTGTCCAAACTGGAGAGGAGCCAGCCTGTCCCAAATTCAGAGAGTGAAAAAGTGCCATTTGTTTGTCACCTCAGCACTAACACTGCTGGAAGAGCTGAGCTGATTGTTCCAATTACTGAAAGACTCCAACCCCATGTTTCTGTGGCAAGTCACTGCCATTAACATCCCTTTTGGAATATACGTGTTCAGTTGTGCAATAAATGGTGGAATACGAGAAAGTGTGGTTAGAAATGGAATAAAATGTGCAACTAGCAATCACCTATCCATCAGAATAACAGGTGAACAGGTGAACATCACACCTGACTCTGAGCTTTGTCCTGGGTGATTTATGGACACCTGATCTTTGAAGGCTGTTTTTTCAGATAATTAATTCTGTTGGATTATCTGGACCAAAGTTGCTGTGCATGGATGAGTTGGTGTATCAGGCTCCTACGAGGTCTAGTAACAAGAAAATAGGGTCCAAAATTTCATTAATCCTGTTTTTTTTTAAAAAAAAAAGATGAAGTTTGGAGTAATTCAGCGTGGCACAGAATTGTGAAGGGCAGCCAAAGTTGTGTTTCCCTCCAAACTGTGGCCCCTGGAGGGTTTTTGGCAGTGTGGGTGTTACCAAGGTGGAGGGTTTTGGTGCTCCCTGGATGTTCTGGTGCTGTGCTGATGCTCTGGGGGGGGATTGGGAACGTGGTGCCCCCAGCTCAGCCCAGGCTGATGATGATCCCATCACATGGGCTGTGATGCTCCTGCAGCCAGCGAGTCCATGCCTTCATTTCCCAGCCTGCTTCCTGCCCCAGGGAATGTTCAGAATAGCTTTGATCATTTTTGGGTCCATATGTTGGTGTTCCAGTGTTTCCATCCTCTTTTCCTTGCACATCCAAGAGCCTCAGGCTGCAGCTCAGCCTGGTCCCAGGGAGGCTGGGACAGCACAGTGGAATCCTCTGTGCTCTTCCACCCTGATATTTCCATAAAAACTTTCGTATTTCTATAAAAATTCCTTGATATTTCCATAAAAACTCCCCGATATTTCCATTAAAACTCCCTGATATTTCCACAAAACCCTCCTGATATTTCCATAAAAACTCCTTGATATTTCCACAAAAATTCTCTGCTATTTCCATAAAACCTCCCTGCTGGGGTGGAAGCTTTACAGGGCTCACCTGCAGCCCAGAACATGCACAGTGGCTTGTTTTTATTCTTTGTAGAATAGTTTTCAAACAAAATAGCGGAGGACAAGTTATTTTGTAAATAACTCTTGGAATTTTAAAACAAAGTGGTGTGTTTGGGTTTGTTTTGGTAAATATTTTAGACCTGGAAATTGTACAGAGAAAGGAGGAAAAAAAAAAAACCAAAAGAGGGATTTTCTGGGTCTTTAAAGCCTAATTCGTATAAGCTGCGAATTTCGTGACCTAGTTTTGTGAGATGAGCTGAATATTGGGCAAAATAGAGCAAAATGTGCTCTATCTTGATAAAACATGAAGGGATGAAAGGGTTTTAAAGTTAGAAAAAAACCTTTCAGTGGGAGAAAATGAGGGAGGAGGAGAGGACAGGGCTGGAGGAGGACCAGGGATGGCAGGAGGGGGTCAGAGGGTGAAGGTGATGGAGAGGAGGGGAAAATCCTTCCTCCAGGGCTCTGCCTTCCATGGGTGGTTCCAGCAGCCCCTTGTGCTGAGCCTGGCTCGGGTGTGGGAGAGGAGGACGTGAGGGAAGGGACAATCCCATCTGAGGATGCTGGGTTTTTGTAAGGGAGGAGAAGTGGACACTTCAGGAGGGTTAAAACCTGCAGGAAGGCAGGACCCACCTCTATCCTGGTGCTCTCCCAGCACATTCCTTATTTCACTTCCCACCTCTCCTGTCAGTCACCTTAAAGCCCAAACATCTGGCAAGGCAGAGGTTGTGCTCTGGGAACAGCCAGTGATCCGTGTGCAGTCCGTGTTTGTCAATGTTTTGGAGGTGGAACTGCTGGGAGACCAGGGCTGTGTGTCCTTGTCCTGGCTGTCTGTCCCCTGTCCCATGGTGCCAGCGGTGCCACACGAGCCTCCAGTCTCTGCTGGCATGGAAGGAACAGAAATAACTTGCAGTCGTTTGGGAACCAGGGAGCTATTTTTGGGTTGGTGTGAAAACAGGGCTTGTTTGGTGGTTTTTTTTATCTTGGAAAGGCAGTGAGTAGGTCGTGCATGTGGGAAGGCTTTTCTGGTGGGTTCTGAGGGGTGGGAGAGGGCTGGGGGCATCCCTGGGTCCCACCAGGGGCCACCTCAAGGGATCAGGAGGGTCCTGTGGGGAGCAGGTCGGAGGAAGATTTGATAAACTGTGGTTGTTTTGCAGCTGAAGTTCCAGCTGGGAGTGTCTGAGGTGGGGACCGATGGGAAGAGAGTGGGAGGAGGGTTTGAGGGGTCCTTTTGTGTCTGGTCCAGTCGAGCCCAGCAGGAGCAGCCTGAGGTCAAAGCCCAGGCTGAGCAGAGGAAGGTGGGGTTGTGTGGGGTGCTGTGCTGCAGATCAGCCCAGCTGGTTCCTCAGGAGATGCTCCTGCTGCCTCCCAATTTCCCACAGAGGTCCCTTCCCGCTGCTGCTGTCCCAGACCTCGCTGTGTTGCCTTTGATTTTGAGTTTTGAGGTACAATCACAACGTTCTGTTGGTCCTACTGGGAGCAGAGTGAATTTAATTGGGAGTGAAAGCTGTGCAGGTCTCAGAGCAGCCCCTGGAGGGTGAGTCTGCTCCAACCCCTGCTCCTACCGGGGTTTTCTCTTGCATCCCACGAGGAAACCAGATGTTTAGTGCAGAGGGAAGAACTTTTACCTTTCAGCCTGTACAGCTGCCTTTGTAGTGGTTTTCAATCCCCTCAAATGAGTTACTGCAGGAAAAAAATCCTCATCATTCTGTGTCATTGAGTTGAATTGAAATTGTGTTGGATTTTGAGACTCAGAATGGGGTGATCCTCAGGGACCCTTCTGACCCAAACTGTTCTGTGGTTCTGTGAAATGGTGCCTAGGAAACTACCTTTTGTGTTTAGAATTGGACTCAGCTCTAATGTTTCCTTATAAAACCAGTTAATTCCGCTTGGATCTGCCTTCCCAAGCAGGGAATGTTGCTGAGCAGAGCAGCAGTTTTAGGAGGAGTTTTCCCCAGCACTGGATGTGCCCCTTGGCTCCTGTGCCACCACTCCTGGCTGGACAGCCAGGCAGAGGGGCTGATAAATCAGGGAATCGCAGAATCCCAGGATGAAGGATCCCATTAACTTCCCCATTTTCCATGTTATTCTCATTCCAGTCCTGCGCTATCACCAGGGTGCAAGTCCCTCACAAATTACAACACAGATTAGAAGGTGTCGAGTGTTTCTCCCTCTCTATATTTATAATAAACAGGGATTTAGGAGCCAGATATCGCTGGTTTGAGCCATGTCTGTCTTTTCATCTGGACTTGGAACTTCTTGCTTTGCTCCAGCAGGTGCTTATGGAGATTTTTTCCCCTCTTTCTTTCCTGCTTTAATCCGTTGACTTTTGATCTGCGACACCGCCGAGGGGTTTAGGGAATTAGTAAATACACACAATAAATTTTGTTTTGACTGTCTGCAGAGGCAGTAAAGATTTTTTTGGAGCTGTCTAATGAGTTGTTTAAGCAGGATCTTCTTGCTTATAAATCCCAGTTGGCTGATTAAAATCACCATTTCCAATGCCTTCTCTCATTAAACCATATAAAAATGATTTCTCATAGATGCCTCCCAACTTGATTAAGTTAATTTACTGCCTCATCACTGAAATTTTAATTTCTGGATATATAAACATTTCTTTATGCTTTCCTTACCCTCCTTAATTACAGGTTTTAGGTTGTTTGGATAATAAGATGTGGAAAGTGGGGAGCAGAGGCAGCACATCCCTGGAGGGAGGGAGGGAAGGAACCTGGGGCCTCTGACCCCTCCTGGACCTCCCTGGGGCATCAGGGCTGTGCTGGGCAAAGCCAGGCTCTCCTTCCCCTCCCAGGGGGACTTGGCCCTCTCCAACCAGCCCTTTCTTTTGGCAAAACATCTCAGCAGGCAGATTTTTTGTGAGGTCACAGGAGGGGTCACAGCCCAGGATGCCTGAGGTGACTGAAGGGGGCTCCTGCCTCTCCTCGTGACAGGACAAGGGGGTTTAACTGAAAGAGGGAAGATTTAGGTTGGATATCGGGGGAAATTCCTGGCTGGGAGGCTGGGGAGGCCCTGGCCCAGGTTGCCCAGAGAAGCTGTAGCTGCCCCATCCCTGGAAGTGTCCAAGGCCAGGCTGGACAGG